TGTGCAGGAACCTGTTAACCTGTTAGCTATAATGTGCACATGTATGCATGTGTGTGCATGTTTGTGTATTTTCCGGAGCAAATGGTCAATGTAAGTTAGGTCCTTAAGATATTTATTTACAGTGATACCAACTGGTATGGTCAAAGGTGTGCCCAACACCTTTAAACCAATGTGATCCTAACATTTTTCTGCTGTTCTCACTTTGTAAATATTCTTAAGAAGACTGTGGGGTGAAATAATTGTAATTCAAGCCTATATAATAACCATATCTCAGGAAGGTCTAAGACAGTGCATTAATATCTAGTGTAAATGCATTTCCTTGGGTCTTGGAATTTGTATCACCTCAACACAAGGGCTGCCATAAGTTGGAATTGACAACAGCAAAAATACAGTTTTGTTCTTTTTTTGTTCATTTCTTTTTTCAGATTTAGTCAATTCATTCATTTCCAAATATAAACATATAATGAGAAAATAAGTTACTTTCAGTTCTTAAATGATCAGAAACAGACATATTAAGATAATGGTCTGGGGGTAGTAGCTTCCTTGTAGAGTTATCGCAGAAGACTTCCCGGAGAAAAGACTTGAGTTGAGACCCAGCTGGTGAGAAGAAGATCTACTCACAAGCAGAGGGGACTAAGTGTCCAAAGACTGTCCGGTGGATGCATTGGTTTGTTCTAAAGGAAGACGGTCTGGGAGAGGCCTGCAGGGTGGATGGGAAGGAAATCAGGAGAAAAATGAGCGCAAAGAGGTCAGTAGGTTTGGGATCTTGCTGAGCCTTGTAAAGGCACTGATCATTTGATTTGTATTTTTCGGATGACAACAGCAAGCCATCAAAGAGCTTAAATAAGAGAGTGAGAAATGAAAGGAGCTTTAGAAAGACATTCTGGCTGCTACAGAGGGGAGGCAGTGTGCAGGGACAGGAGTGAAATGAGCAGATTAATGACCTACAAAAATGATGGTGTGGGTAGGTTCTAGCAGTGAGAGTGGAGAGAAGTGGGTGGTTTCTGGATGTAGTTTGATAGTGGAGCTGACTGAAACAGCTGATGAATTGGATGTGGGGAGAGTGAGAGAGAGAGAGAGAGAGAGAGAGCGAGAGCTAACTCCTAGATATTTTCTTGACTGAACAGCTTGACGGATGGGGTGCCATTTATTGAGTTGTGGAAGGCTATTAAGGAAGGAGATTTGGGCTGGGGCAATACAATCAAGATTTCACTTTGGTCAGAGTAATGTTTGAGATCTCTCTTAGATGTTCTGTGGGATAGTGAGTAGGACACGTGATCACTCCACTCAGGTGCCCAGTGGAGAGGTCTGGGAGGGATAAAGGTGAGAACCAGCTACATAAGAAGACATTTGAAGTACAGTCCTCAGTGAGCTCCTCCAGCCAAATAACAGAGAGAGAGAAGTGATCAGATCATTGCTCCTTAGGCTCTGGGAAATAATTTGAGGAGTGGACCATGCTATAGGAAGAGAGCCAGGAAAGTGCAGTCTTCCAGTGAACATTGTGCCCAGAGATGGCCCTGGATTAAAACGGGAATCTTCAGCAAAACTCACACCCCCCTCTCTCTCTGGTCCAGACTAAGATGAACTCAAACATCATCTGTCTAAATTCATGTTACACGAAGAACATATGGCTCCAAGTGACACAGCTAGCAAATGATAGGGTGAGAAGCTAAATTGAGAGCATCCGATTCTATGTCCCACCTCCTTCCCTCTTCACCAGGCAGCCTGCCAACTAGAACAGAGCCGGGCACTTTCCACGCTAAAACCACATTGCCTTTTGCAGACTTGATCTCTGTCTTTCCATTCTTTCTTTCTTCATCCTCAGCAATACGATAGGATTGATTTGATCATTTACGGCTTGAGAATTTCTGATACACCCTCCTAATGCTGGCAAAGGGAAGCCATTTGGGGTTGAAAAGCTGAAACAAAACTTCCCAGTCTTAACCTGATTCAGTCATATCCCTAGTCTGCCATAGTCTAAGTATTCTTTAGAGTACTGAAGAGCAAGGATGCTACTTTGAGGACTAAGGTGCACCTGACCCAAGCCATGGTATTGTCCATTGTATTATATGGATGTGAAATTGAATATGGAAGACCATAGAAGAATCGATTCATTTGAATTGTAGTGCTGGAGGAGAATATTGAAAGTCCCATAGACTGCTGAAAGGACAAAGGACAAACTGCTCTGTACTGAAAATAAGGCCAGAATGCTCTTCAGAGACTAGGCTGGCAAGAGGGCATCTTACGTTTTTTTGACATGTCATCAGGAGAGACCAATCTCTGAGGAAGGACATCAAGTTTGGAAAAGTGGAAAGGTGATGAAAAAGAGGAAGACCTTTGACAAGATGGATTGGCACGGTGGCTGCATCGATGGGCTCAGGCATAGGAACTATTGTGAGGATGGCACAGGAGGGTCGCTGTGGGTCGGAGCCAACGCAATGGCACCTAACAACAACAACTAGTCTACACAACTCTGGAGTGTGTAGTGATTTCATTCCAGTGAGACCTGAAAGTACTATGCCCAAGCATTTCTGAACCCCCACAGTAGCAGTTTTTGTGCTAGCAGACTCAAGAATTTATTTGTTTCTATGTTTAAAGAACATTTAAGTTCCTCTGGGTCCCAGGGACAACCACGGGTCTCAGATGTTCCACGTCAACCTCAGTTCAATGTAACTTTTGACAAAGTTGAACTATGAAGCATATACAAGTGCGGAAGACCCTTTATACTTGGATAAGACTTTTCATGTAAATAAATTTACATACCAATTTGAATGACCATTTGTTAGCCTGACATCCGTATCAGTATAACATTTAAGTTGTTGTAACAGATATTGTACCCCTCTTAAGGAAGCATGAACAATAAGGAAGCTGGCCTGGCTTGAAACCCTGCTACATCTTGACCTTCAGCAGAAATTGCTGACACTTTTCTGTTGAACTCAGAAGCACCTTCCATCTCGTTCTCACTGTCAGGCCATCAGACTTGGTCTTCAGGAGGAACCTTCTCTCTCCCGACCGCCACCTTAAAGCTTTCCATCCAAGTAGACACAGGATCAATAATCAGTGCTTTGGATATGTCTCAAAGTTTTGTCAGTCCGCCTTAGAAAACCGTCATGCAAATAGCATACCATCATTGTAGCCAAATAAGACTGTCAAAGGAACCCTGGTGGTGTAGTGGATCACAACGTGGGCTTCTAATCAAAAGGTCAGCAGTTTGAAAGCACCAGCCACCCTGCAGGAGAAAGATAAGACTTTCTACTCCCACAAAGAGCTACAGGCTTGGAAACCCATATAGACAGTTCTACCCTGTTCTATAGAATCACCATGAGTTGGAAGAGTGAGAAGACTGTCAAGGAATTGAAGTCGGCTGAAACACAGACATATCACAGTAGCTATGGAAAAAAATAAAGCAATTGGGCTTTAGAATAAAACATACTTGGTGAAAAATATATTTTAAAACGGATCTAACAGAAGCTGAATGAGCACAGGCAATCATATGATTTCTCAAAGACTGGCTCTTCCTTTGGAAAATGAGGATAAATTTTATTTTTGGAAAATGTCTTTCCAGGTAGAAGTATGTGGAAAGATGTAGAATGGAAAAGAGATGGGAACATTTGGGGAGTCAGAGATTGGAAGACAATCTAAAGGCAAAGGAAGGGCAACGGCAGTGGTGGTCATGATTGGTTAGGGTGGTAGTGGTGTGTGATGATGATGGTAAAATATCTGCGGTGGTGAGAAACTGCAGTAGTGAAGGCAGGTGGTGTGAGATGTGTGGTATAACAAAGAATGTAGTGGTGGAAAGCAAGATAGGCTGATGTGTGGTGTGGGGATGTCTGATGCCGTGGGTGTGTACATTGGTGGAAACATGCTGTGGGTGTGTTATGATGGAATATGTGGTGGGGGCTGCAGTGTGGGATACATGGTCGTGGAATGTTTTGTAGGGGAATGTGTGGTGTGGCAAAGAGATGATAGTAAGTGTGAGAACTAAATTACTTAATTTAGGCAAAACAGAGCAATTCCTGGCAAATAAGTGTTGAAATGCTTGTTGATTTTTTTTTGGGGGGGGGGAGGAAACACTAAATTTTAATATCACAAGAATTATATATAATTTGTGGAGACTGAACTATTTGATGTCCATTTTAGAGATGATTATGGTGCCAAATTGAGACCTTATCATCATTTCCTTTGTCCCATTACATTTAGTGCCCATTAAAGGCAAACGCTACTCTGGTTTTTTTAAAAATCAATTTATTGGGGCTCATAAAATTCATCACAATACAGATATCTTATTTTATTTATTTTCTGGTTTCTCAACATTAAAAATGTAGCAGATGCTTTTTTAAAAAAGCAATCACCTTCTAAAAGAAGTGCTAAATTTTCATTATTCTCAAACTTTAATTCTACAACTGGGATGAACCTTAGGATTAAAACTGGTTAAAAGGTAATCTCACTTATCACTATAGGAAATATAGGAGAGAAAGCCGTTGGGAGAGTGTACTGATCAAGTTCCCTTTGTCCTATAGAATTTCTTGGGTCTATGGGGCACCCAGGCGAAGAGGTCAGGGGAAAATACAGGTCCATAGCTAATGAGAAAGACGGTATGGCATATACTGTGATGCTTGATCAAGACTAGGCCTTTCATAGAACCATGAGGCATAATTTCCAGATTATTAATGTTCCCGTATTAGCTCCCTTTGCTTCTGTACTCAGTTGCCATTGAGTGGGCTCTGACTCGTGGCAGTCCATGTGTAGCAGAATGAAACACTGCCTAGTGCTGGACCTTCGTCATGACTGTTGGTGTGCTCCAGTGCATGGTTGTGCTGAGAGTATCTTCAATGCCTTCCATCCGAAGGGGCTCCTTTGCTAGCACTACATTGGACCATGACCTACTGCAGTCAGTAGAGTTGGGAGCATTAAAACTGGTTAAAGGCCCTACTTCCTAGTCTGTCTTTCTCACGGTCTCTACGAGAGTGGGACAGCGAGATGTAGCACCAGGGCCCGTGATGGCGAGTCTCCCGGCCCACAGATCCTCATGGAGATACTCTTCCTCGAAACCAAGCTTTGATGTGAGGAACCCTGATAAGCGTGGGGTGGTACGGCTTTTGTTTGGTGGATCTGGCATTAAGCTAGCGAAGCCATTGCTGTCGGAAGAGATGATTGGTGAGTTTCTCCCAAGCCAACCAACTTTGACTGTTGAATCATGGCTCTTCTTTCCCTTCCCCTCTTTTCTTCTTTTAGTGACATGCGGCCCAAATGCAGTCCCCCAATCTATGAAGCCAGAAACTTACAAAATTATTGGTGGGGACATTGCCGACATTTTAGATTTCCCATGGCAGGTGGGTATTTTCAACAAAAGGAAGCATCATTGTGGAGGATCTATACTCAATGAGTGGTGGATTCTCACTGCAGCCCATTGCATTTTAAACGTCCGTCAGTAAGTATTGCCAATCGATTTTTTTCTTTTAAATCACTATGCTATGGTATTTGCCCCCAACCCCAAACTAGACTCTGCCATCAAATAGACTCCAACTACTCCCCAGGGTTTCTGAGGCTGCAAACGTTTATGGAAGCCATCCGCCACCTTGTTCTGCTGCAACGCAGCTGCTGGGTGCCTACGGCTGTCTCTTTAGAATGCAGCCCGAAGCCCAAGCCACGGGCTTCGTGGCTTTTCTCCGGCCGCCACCTGCCCCAGGTGCCTACTGGTCTCTTGAAAGCCTATCCCAGGTTTGGTCGACTCATCTGTTCTACAAACTACCAGGAGGTTGACTACAGACCTGGGTGGCAGGATCTCCTGCTTCACGTGTGTGAGATGAACTGTGTTTTACACATTGCTGTGCGCTTAAATGATGGGACTAATGTGCCTGGGACTGTTGATTATCTTGTCTACCGGTGCATGTGGTTCTGACCCTAAACACTTGCTGGCATTCAAAGACAGTGGATTCTCAGTAATCATGGAGTTGAGACCCCTAGAGGGCACTGGTCCTGGCTTCTTATCAGAGAATCCTGAGGTACAATTACAAGTCACAGAGCTGTATTTCAAAAAATATATCTAGATATAT